CAACATCCAAGCAGATCAGCATAACATGCATACATCAGTCAACTAAGCTCCGGCCTAATCACTTACACTATTGTCTCGTCTTTTCACTTCTCAAGAAGTCAAGTTCGGCCACGTAGGTATTCCCAATGCTTTGGTCTTCCTTTACACCCTTGGTTCGGCCTAATCAAATAAGAAGACTTAATAGGTGGCTCTAAAATGCACTTGGTCTATACATGACATTTGGGTTCGGCCCTTTAGAATATTATTACTTAGAAGATGATTCTAACAAGGTGGGTTCATGCATGGCACTCTAACCATCCTACTAATCCACATATAATTCGGTTAACATGTAAGTCCAACTTTAATAAGGTTTTCCTTTAAGCCCTCACAAACTAAAAATATAAGAGGGATGGAGATCCATAACTTGAACATAGAGTCTAAGAGACCTTACCTCAAAGGATGATGTTCAATGGATTGATTCTTCCACCAAATACTTCACTCTTGATCTTCTAAGTGACCACCTTCCACGTGTTCCTCTATAGACGATGAAGGAGGCTTGAAGTTATTTTTTATTATGCTCATATGCCCTAGATGTGACAATGGCCAAAGCCTTAGATGGGAGAGAAAGGTTTGTTTCTTTTTGGGTCCTTGTTCTTGAGAAGGCCGAAGCCTTGGTGAGGGAAAGAGGGTGTCCTTTTTCTTTTCTTTGGTTCCTTGTTAAGCTAGAGAGAGTGAGGGAGTGTGACCTTTTGCCTTGGATCCTTGGGTGTGTACGGTTAGGATAGGGGAAAGGCCTTTGGTCATCTATTTTATTCAAGTCCCCTTAATCATCATGCCTAGAAGAGGATAGGTTAGATCCTAGGTTGAGTGTGGGATAGGCAAATCTTCTCACCTTGTTCAAGGTTTTCATGCGCATGAGGATGAGAGACTCTTACATGTCACGCCTAGGTTAGAGAGAAACAAGGTTCAAGCTTTAATCACTTGGGAAGTGATGCACATGGGGAGGAGAGACTCTTGCATGTAACGCCTAGGGTGGAGGGAAACAAGGTTCAATGCTTTAATCACTAATAAGGAAATATTGGTTAGTGTGTAAGGCTTTTGCTTTTTATCATTCATTGACCGAAACCCTAGGAGAAAGGGTGTCATAACGTTCTTCCCAATGCATGGGGGTTGGATGAGGTCACCTTGAGTGTGCAACACTCAATGTAAAGTGTGTAAGACAAGCCATGCTCCTTTCATGATGATCATTGCGCCTAGGGGGAAGGGAAAAGGTGGCTCTACTTTTAAATCATAAATGAAGAAAGCCTTGGTTCCTGAACCTTGGAGGCGTCGCCTAGGGAGTGGGGAAAAGGAATTTATGTTTCCTTTCTTCTACATGGTCGACGGCTTGCACTTGGGGAATGGCCAAGTTTCATTCAATTCCTTTCCCTTTCTGGTTGCATGTAGTGGCAACCACTCCTCAAATGCCACATCATTCATCATATGTTCATGGACTTGGGCTTGTTGCACCACTAAAAAGGGTCCACGGTGTTGGCTTCAAAAATATTGGGATTGCTTTGCAATTTGGGCCAAGACCACACTAGGTAATGGGTTCGGCCCACTTTGGCCTTTTGGGGTTAGATTTCCATTGAAATTAATGAATGGGCCAAGTCTTATTCCTTTGGATGATGGGTTCGGCCCAAGGAGTCTTTGAGTTGGGATCACACTAGGTTGGGCTACTTATGTTTAAGTTTGATGTGGGCTTAGTCTAAGATCATATAATTCCAAGAGTCATGAGTTTGGGCCATTAAGGCCATTAGTTGGTGTGGGTTCAACCCATTAAGCTTTGGGCTTTTAGATTATTTAACCATACTTAACTTGGACTATTCACATATAACTATCATTAATTCATTTGGTCCACACAAGACTCATTAATAAATGTGGCTACATAATTTACGGTTATTACATCCACCCAACCTTAATAAAATTTTCGTCCTCGAAAATTACAATCAATCTAAGTCGGGGTATTGTCGTCGAATCTCATCTTCACGTTCCTAGGTTGCTTCTTCAGGCGTCCTTCCTTGGCATTGCACCTTCACCATCGGAATCACTTGCTGCGGAGTCGCTTCTCTTCTCTATCTAGAATCTTGCAGGGTGCCACCAGAATCTTCAAGTTGGGTCTCACTTCAACAGTGTCTGGTAATACGACATGAGAGGGATCCGCCAGATACTTCTTCAACTGGCTTACATGGAATACATCGTGAAGGTTTGCCAGATTGGGTGGTAATGCTAATTGATAGGCTACCAGTCCTACCCTTTTCAGGATCTGATAGGGACCGATATATCGTGGACTTAACTTTCGCACGCAAAGGGCTCTGCCGACACCAGTAACAGGGGAGAGTTTGATGAATACATGATCCCCTACCTCAAACTCCAGGGGTAGGTGCTTCAGGTCATAGTAATTCTTTTGTCGATCTTGGGCTTTCCATAGCCTGTCGTGAATCATCTTGATCTGTTCTGTTGTTTCTCTGATCATGTCTGGTCCGAAAAACTCTCTGGCGCCAACTTCTTTCCAGCAGGTAGGTGTACGACACCTTCTTCCATAAAGTGCTTCGTACGGAGCCATACCGATATTGGCATGATGACTATTATTGTAAGAGAATTCTGCCGATGGCAGGTACTAATCCCAACAACCTTCCTTCTCTAAAGCGCAGGCCCGCAACATGTCCTCAAGTGTTTGTATTGTCCTCTCAGTCTGTCCGTCGGTCTGGGGGTGATAAGCCGTGCTCAATCGCAGTTGGGTCCCGAATGCCTGTTGCAAGGAAGACCAGTATCAAGATGTAAACTTAGGATCCCGATCACTAATTATGCTTTCAGGGACGCCGTGCAATCTTACAATTTCCTTCACATAGATCTGAGCCAACTTCTCTGTCGTGTAAGTCCTTTTACCGATATGAAGTGTGCTGATTTGGTCAGTCTGTCGACCACCACCCAGATGGCATCGTAGCCTGCTTGAGTTCTGGGTAAACCTGTTACGAAGTCCATAGATATACTCTGTCATTTCCACTCCGGGATGCTCAAGGGCTGTAGGGTGCCTACCGGTCGCTGATGTTCAATCTTTACTTTCTAGCACACCATGCATTTGCTCAAGTATCTTCCCACATCTCTTTTCATTCCTTTCCACCAGAAGTTCTTTTTGAAGTCTGCGTACATCTTGGTGGCTCCTGGGTGTATTGAGTATTGACTCTTATGCGCCAGCTCCATGACTTCCTCCCTCAGGAGTTTTGTAGGGACCATTATCCTCCCTTGGAAAGTAATTATGCCTTGCTGGTTCAGGCTAACACCAGATTGGTTCCTCAGTCTCTTCAAGCAGTCGACGGCTTGCTGAGCATGTTTGATCCTTTCTAGTAGTTCGTCTAAGATTTGCACTGCCCAATATTCAGCCTCACATTCGCTATTTACCACTGCTAAGTTCAAGTTCTGGAATTCCTCTATCAGTCGATGCTCGGCTATCATCATGCTCTCAACTCCTCTGGTTTTTCTGCTCAAGGCATCTGCGACTACATTCGCCTTGTCGGGATGGTATTGCAATTCAAAGTTGTAGTCCTTTATGAACTCCATCCAACGGTGTTGTCTCATGTTCAACTCCTTTTGATCGAATAAATACTTGAGGCTCTTGTGATCACTATACACTGTTAGAGTGGTATCGTACAGGTAATCACGCCATATCTTCAAGGCAAACACGATCGCAGCTAATTCTAGATCGTGTGTGGGGTAGTTTTCTTCGTGCGGCTTCAGTTGTCGGGATGCATACGCTACTGGTCTGCCGTGTTGCCTAAGTACACATCCCAAGCCTATCTTGGAGGCATCACAATACACCTCGAATGGTTCCTCCGGGTCTGGCAGCGTCAGTACTGGAGCTGTTGTCAGCATTCTTTTTAACTCTTGGAAACATACTTCACATTCTTGGGTCCACATGAAAGGGACTTCCTTTCTTGTCAATCGGGTAAGTGGTAACACCCTCTTCGAGAATCCTTCAATGAATCTCCGATAATATCCTGCCAGTCCGAGAAAGCTCCTTATCTCTGTGACAGTCTTTGGTCATTCCTAGTCTACTACTGCTTCGATCTTACTGGGATCCACTGCTACTCCTTTATCTGAGATTACATGTCCAAGAAATTGGATCTCTGGCAGCCAGAATTCGCACTTCGATTGTTTCGCATATAGTTGTTTTTCCCGCAATACTTGTAGCACAATTCTCAAGTGTTTTGCATGCTCTTCTTTGCTTTTCGAGTATATTAGTATGTCGTCGATGAATACGACCACGAATCGATCCAAGTAAGGTTGGAAGATCTGATTCATGTAGCCCATGAATACTGCCGGGGCATTAGTCAATCCGAAGGGGATGACCAAGTACTCGTAGTGTCTGTATCTCGATCTGAAGGCTGTCTTAGGAATGTCTTCCGGCTTGATTCGGATTTGATGGTATCCTGACCGGAGGTCGATCTTCGAAAACACCTTCGCACCCCTTAGTTGATCAATTAAGTCCTCGATATGGGGCAAGGGGTACCTGTTCTTGACAGTCACTTTGTTGAGTTGCCGATAGTCCGTGCAAAGTCTCATTGACCCGTCCTTCTTCTTTACAAATAGAACTGGTGCTCCCCACGGGGACACACTGGGTCAGATGAAATTCTTCCCTAGCAAGTCTTCTAGCTGCTTCTTCAATTCTACCAGTTCAAGGGGAGACATGCGGTAGGGTGCAATTGAGATTGGCCCAGTCCCGGGCATAAGTTCAATAGAGAACTCCACTTCCCTTTCAGGGGGAAAGGTGGTAATGTCGTAGGAAATACATCCTCGAATTCTTTGACCACGGGAATGTTCATCAGCGGCGTCTCGCTTGCACCTACCAGGCCGGCTATTAGCATAGAAGTACAATCTCTTGATTCGACCGGTGAAGAACTGGGGAGTGGGGTCTCCATCTTTTTCCCGCCGACTATAATACTTCGGCTTCTACAATCAATTACTACGCGCTGCTTGGCCAGCTAGTCCATTCCCAATATTAGGTTTAGTTTGGCTAAGGGGAGAATTATGAAGTCTTGGTTGTACTTCTTTCCTTTGTATCTGAATTCTACATTTCTACATATGAAGTGAGACGCTGTCACTTCCCCCGTCGCAGAGGTGACTTGCGTTGGGGATTGCATTGGGCTCATAGTTAAGTTAAATGCATTTGCCACATAGTCGGCAATGAAGGAATTGGTCGCACTAGAGTCAAATAAAACAGATAGTTCTTCACCACATATATTGATCGTACCTTTAACTAGTTCGGCTGCCTTGTCCGCCACATGTTGATCCAGCGTGTAAACTCTGCCCATTCTTGGTGTCTCAGCTGCTGGCTGTTGTTCCCTCCATTGTGGACAATCTTTGATGAAGTGTCCATCTTGGCTGCACTTGAAGCATTTCATCGATCCGCTCAAACAATTGCCGAAATGTGCCTTCCTACATTTGGGGCAATTGGGAGCCCTGCTGCTGTTTCCACGGGGATTCCCGGGCCTCTTGAACTTGTGGTCATCACGCCTGGGCTGCCATGGTCTGCCTCCGCTCTTCCCTCTCCATGGTCGGTTCCTAGTCATCAGAGTTTCGTGTCCGGATCCGCTGGTCTTCGCGGGCTTCCTTGTTTGCAAACCGACCGCCTCCACCTGTCTACATCGGTTTACTAGGGTGGCCATGTCACAGGTGCCGTTGCCAGCTACCAATTTCGTAATCCTAGCGGACAGACCCCTTTGGAATTTTGCTGTCAGAAAATCCGGCATGGGCATGGTTCCTCGGTAAGTCGCCAATCGGAGTAGTTCGTGGAACTTAGCGTGATATTGGGCCACCGTCATGGTCCCTTGTACGAGTCGGTCGAATTCGCCTTGCTTGCTGACCCGGATTGACATCGAGAAATACTTCTCCAAGAACATTTCTTCAAATATGGCCCAAGTAATCGCCGCATTTTGCATCTCCAAAGGTTGGGACGCATTAGCCCACCAATGATTGGCGTCTCCTTCCAACATGTACACCAAAAATAGCACCTTTTGAGCTTCGGTGCATTGGACCACTCTGAATATTTTGTCCATGGCCTATAGCCACTGCACAGCCATGATCGGGTCGTGTCCTCCTTGAAAAGAGGGTGGTTTGTGTTTCCTAAATGTCAGCAGTAGATCTTGATTATTCTGGCCCGCCGCTCCATGGTCCGGGGGCGGTTGGGCACCAGCACCGGCTCCTCCGGTGCCTGAGCCGCTCGCGATGTTGTTATGGGTTGTGTTGAGAGGGTTGCGTCTTATTTCGTTCAGAATATTCTGAAACATCTCCCCCGCGTTTGTCTGCATCTGTGTGATGGTATCCCTTAAGGTATTGATTTGGCCTTGCATGTCCTCGGAACCTTGAGGATTGTTGCGAGTAGGTGATCTACACGGTGGCATAGTGACTGCACATATGTTACAGGGTATAACAAAGGGAGTTAGAGAATAGTTTTATTCCAAAGTTCAGAAAATGCTCTGATACCATTAAATGTAACACCCCAGATTGTAACACCCGAGGTGATAACATTGCTTAACAACATACTTAGAGCGGAAAGCTTACCCTGAGCGTGGCCTACTCTTGAATTCTAGGAGAATTAATTTCGTTCTTTAATTTGACTAACTTAACAATCGTACTTATCCATCTAATAATGTGTTCTTAGCGTCTGCAGTTTCCTCACAATGTCTAGGGTGCATTATGTCACGATTTGTATCCATATGAAATTCTATGTCTTCTAATGATCCTCACCTTCCACTACGTATAGTTTCATCATTTGATCCTCCTATTATTCTCAAATTTCCAGCCACGAATGCAATTACCCTTAAGTTCTTTATGTAATTTCCATCAAGTTAAATATCTCTTCGGGGTCCATCTAATGAGTCATAAACTCCAGGATGAAGTCCTAGCCTTATTCATTCCTCTTAACCCGTTATGTGATATTAAAATTTAGTCAATTAACCTTAAATAACAATGCATGACCAAATCATATGGGTCTTACGACTTAATTGCATAGTCCATAAAACATAAAGCCTCTTAAATACAAACACCCAATTACAATACCTTAAACGCATATCAAATGTCTAAAGTAGCATAAGCGCATATCAAATGTCTAAAGTAGCATAAGTAGCAAAATTCATTACAGTCATCCAACTATAAATAAGAGGCATCACTCAATCCATAAGGATTCATTGTAGTCATAGTCCCTGATGACTTCAACCAACACAAGATACATAGCCTGCTCATACAACCCTTCATTACAAAGTTCAGTAATTTTATCCACAAGTAACTGCATGGTATCATCTTCATGACGTACTAATCTCTTGCCTTTCCTTACCCACTTGGTCATTTCTACCTGAAAGGAGATCGCCAAAGAGGGATGAGATTGGGGGTCTCAGTAAGGACTCATAGTTGGAGCAACCTCCAAACCATGATGCTTTCTCCTGCAACAGTCATATAATAGCATATACAATAATAGAATGGAAAACATTTGAAACATAGTTTGGAAGATAAATCATGCTTTCAAAAACATCATACCAATCCTGCCATGGCAATTACTCTCCATGGTCTTACGGACGAATACCCAGGGTCCTCGTCAGGTTGCCTCTGTGGTATTAGTGCACAGGCCATCATAACACATCTTGCATGAACAAAACATTAGTTCCAAATAGCCAAACATATCACTGTATAGCACCATATAACAAATTGCAGTCAAACCAACACTTTACATAAAGGGGGTGGCAACCATAGGGAAACTACTTCTACAACCATAAATCACTTATACACTATTGTCTCGTCTTTTCACTTCTCAAGAGGTCAAGTTCGGCCACGTAGGTATTCCCAATGCTTTGGTCTTCTTTTACACCCTTGGTTCGGCCTGATCAAATAAGAAGACTTAATAGGTGGCTCTAAAATGCACTTGGTCCATACATCACATTTGGGTTCAGCCCTTTAGAAAATTATTACTTAGAAGATGATTCTAACAAGGTGGGTTCATGCACGACACTCTAACTATCCTACTAATCCACATATAATTCGGTTAACATGTAGGTCTAACTTTAATAAGATTTTCCTTTAAGCCCTCACAAACTAAAAATATAAAAGGGATGGAGATCCATAGCTTGAACATAGAGTCTAAGAGACCTTACCTCAAAGGATAATGTTCAATGGATTGATTCTTCCACCAAATACTTCACTCTTGATCTTCTAAGTGACCACCTTCCACGTGTTCCTCTATAGACGATGAAGGAGGCTTGAAGTGTTTTTTTTTTATGCTCCTATGCCTTAGATGTGACAATGGCCGAAGCCTTAGATGGGAGAGAAAGGTTTGTTTCTTTTTGGGTCCTTGTTCTTGAGAAGGCTGAAGCCTTGGTGAGGGAAAGAGGGTGTCCTTTTTCTTTTCTTTGGTTCCTTGTTAAGCTAGAGAGAGTGAGGGAGTGTGACCTTTTGCCATGGTTCCTTGGGTGTGTACGGTTAGGATGGGAGAAAGGCCTTTGGTCATCTATTTTATTCAAGTCCCCTTAATCATCATGCCTAGGAGAGGATAGGTTAGATCCTAGGTTGAGTGTGGGATAGGCAAATCTTCTCACCTTGTTCAAGGTTGTCATGCGCATGGGGAGGAGAGACTCTTGCATGTCACGCCTAGGTTAGAGAGAAACAAGGTTCAAGCTTTAATCACTTGGGAGTGATGCGCATGGGGAGGAGAGACTCTTGCATGTAACACCTAGGGTGGAGGGAAACAAGGGTCAATGCTTTAATCACTAATAAGGAAATATTGGTTAGTGTGTAAGGCTTTTGCCTTTTATCCTTCCTTGACCGAAACCCTAGGAGAAAGAGTGTCATAGCGTTCTTCCCAATGCATGGGGGTTGGATGTCACCTTGAGTGTGAAACACTCAATGTAAAGTGTGTAAGACAAGCCATGCTCCTTTCATGATGATCATTGTGCCTAGGGGGAAGGGAAAAAATGGCTCTACTTTTAAATCATAAATGAAGAAAGCCTTGGTTCCTGAACCTTGGAGGCGTCGCCTAGGGAGTGGGGAAAAGGAATTTATGTTTCTTTTCTTCTATATGGTTGACGGCTTGCACTTGGGAAATGGCCAGGTTTCATTCAATTCATTTCCCTTACTAGTTGCATATAGTGGCAACCACTCCTCAAATGCCACATCATTCATCATATGTTCATGGACTTGGGCTTGTTGCACCACTAAAGAGGGTCCACGGTGTTGGCTTCAAAAATATTGGGATTGCTTTGCATTTTGGGCCAAGACCACACTAGGTAATGGGTTCGGCCCACTTTGGCCTTTTGGGGTTAGATTTCCATTGAAATTAATGAATGGGCCAAGTCTTATTCCTTTGCATGATGGGTTCGGCCCAAGGGGTCTTTGAGTTGGGATCTCACTAGGTTGGGCTACTTATGTTTAAGTTTGATGTGGGCTTAGTCTAAGATCATATAACTCCAAGAGTCATGAGTTTGGGCCATTAAGGCTATTAGTTGGTCTGGGTTCAACCCATTAAGCTTTGGGCTTTTAGATTATTTAACCATACTTAACTTGGACTATTCACATATAACTATCATTAATTCATTTGGACCACACAAGACTCATTAATAAATGTGGCTACATAATTTAGGGTTATTACAACAGGTATTGACATTCATAATATGTATTTCACATTAATTTCCTAATCTAGTAGGGAAAATTTGTACATTTCCCTAAATTCGCGGGATGTTACATTCTCCCCACCTTATTTTGAAGTTTGTCCCCAAACTTCGTCTTACCATCCCAAAATCTGCCTAAGTTTAACGTTGAACACCGTTACATCATGCCATACAGTTTCCTGCAATCATACATCCAGCTATAAGAATCACAAACATCACAGAGCATTACCAACAAATTTGTTCTTTGCATGATTAGTATATAATATAGACCTAACACACTCTGTTCATACGGAAGGAAAAAAAAATCTCCCTAAGCTTAACCATGATACGAACAATTTCCTAAGTTCTTTTTAAACATCAACAAACACCATAACACACCAGTGGCATAAAACGGACCAAAAATCTTACTAGGCCAAGATACTCCAGCTATAAGAAAAGGCTGTAATAGAGCTCAGGGTTTTACAGACAACTAACCATTCCATTTCGCAAAACACTTCTTTACTTTATAAATTTTAGAGTAAAGACCCTTTTTGATCCCTAACAAAAAACACGGTCACCACTTTAGTCCCTTACAAAAATAAATTAGTTAGTTAGTCCCTAACAAATTCAAGGTGGACCCATTTTAGTCCTTTTGAGGGACTAATATGGGTCTTTTTTAAATTTGTGAAGGACCACGATTTCAACTAAATGGGTTCACTTTGAATTTGTTAGGGACTAACTGACTAATTTATTTTTGTAAGGGACTAAAGTGGGGACCGTGTTTTTTGTTAAGGACTAAAAAGGGTATTTATTCTAAATTTTAATAATTATTACTAGTGTAGGCATAAGTGATTGACCTTTTGTTCACCTGATTTAGAATTAGAACGTATGGGGTAGAACATAACACTATAACGAGGCTTCTATATTAGTCACCTTACCTAATAATATCCATACATAATTCTAGTTTTTTATTATCCTTCTGGGAATCAAGCAAACAAAACAGGGCACATTACATTCTCAATTTCATAAGCAAAGAATCTTCGTGAAATCACAAAACTTCTTTCCTACTTTTCATACATATCGTGGTAAGTGACACCCCTCATACAGTTCGTCAAAACACCCCTATGAGGAAACTTCCTCGAGCTTTCCGCCGTCCTAGGTACCTCGGATGTAATTGACTCCACTGATCAGAGGATCCATTAACCATGATATGAACTTCCCAATCTTTGACATACATTACAATCTCGGAACAGCTACCAAACACAATACCCAAAACAAACTAAACCTTCATAAATCAAGTTCACAATAATCGCATTAAAAGTTCCTACCTATAAATAATTTCGTGTTCAAGAAACAGTTAAAATTTACGGTGCGAGACCTAATGCATTAAGAAAACCAAATTCGAAGCTCACTTAGACCGAAAA